AGCGATTCTCCTGCCTCAGCCTCCCAAGTAGCTGGGATTACAGGCATGCACCACCATGCCTGACTAATTTTGAATTTTTACTAGAGATGGGGTTTCACCATGTTGGTCAGGCTGGTCTCGAACTCCCAAACCCAGGCAATCTGCCCACCTTGGCCTCCCAAAGTACTGGGATTACAGGCATGAGCCACCACACTCATCCCCTTTTATTTGTTTAAATAGAGACAGGGTTTCACCATGGTGGCCAGGCTGGTCTTGAACACCTGACCGCAGGTGACCTGTCCCTCGGCCTCCTAAAGTGCTGAGATTACAGGAGTGAGCCACCATCCCTGCCATTTTTTTTTTTTTTTTTTTTTTTTTTTTTTTTTTTTTGAGACAAGGTCTTGTTCTGTCACCCAGGCTAGAGTGCAGTGGCACAATCATGGCTCACTGCAGCCTCAATTTCCTAGGCTCCAACAATCTCCCTATTCCCGAGGAGCTGGGATTACACCACACCTGGCTATTTTTTATAATTTTTTGTAGAGACAGGGTCACATAATGTTGCCCAGGCTGGTCTCAAACTCCTGGAGCTGATCCTCCCGCCTCAGCCACCCACCCAAAGTGCTGAGATTACAGGGATGAGCCACCCTGCCTAAAACTAAATTGTTGGGAGGAATTTTAATAGGCTAAAGGGAGTGATTGATTCCTCTTCCCTTCCACCTCTGAGCCTGAGTTAATCAGAGCTTTCTCGCCTTGGTCAGTGACTGGTTCAGGAATGGACTCACAGTAGACCAATGAGTCTCAAGCCAAGCCCAGAACTTCTACAGAAACTATTGAGAAAAGAAGCTTCTAGCGGCCAGGCGCAGTGGCTCATGCCTGTAATCCCAGCACTATGGGAGGCTGAGGTGAGCGAATGAATCACCTGAGGTCAGGAGGTCAAGACCATCATGGCCAAAATGGCGAAACCCCATCGCTACTAAAAACACAAAATTAACCAGATGTGGTGGCACACACCTGTAGTTCCAGGTACTCGGGAGGCTGAGACAGGAGAATTGCTTGAACCCGGCAGGCGGAGGCCGCGGTGAGCCAAGATCATGCCTTTGCACTCCAGCCTGGGCAACAAGAGCAAAACTTTGTCTCAAAAAAAAAAAAAAAGAAAGAAAGGAAGGAAGGAAGTGGTCGCGGTGGCGCATGCCTGTGGTCCCAGCTACTCGGGGGAGCCTGAGGTGGGAGGATCGCTTGAGTCCAGGAGTTCTGGGCTTTAGTGTGCTATGCCAATCAGGTGTCCACGCTAAATTCAGCATCGATATGGTGACCTCCCGGAAGTGGGGGACCACTAGGTTGCCTAAGGAGGGATGAACCAGCCCAGGTCGGAAAGGGAGCAGGTCAAAACTCCTGTGCTGATTGGTAGTGGGATCGCACCTGTGAATAGCCACTGCACTCCCGCCTGGCCAACATAGGGAGACACCATCTCTAAAAATAAATAAATAAATAAAAATTAAAAAAAAAAAAAGAAGAAGAAGGCTGGGCACTGCGGCTCACGCCTGTAATCCTAGCACTTTGGGAGGCAGAGGTGGGCGGATCACCTGAGGTCAGGAGTTTGAGACCAGCCTGGCCAAAATGGTAAAACCCCCGTCTCTGCTTTAAAAAAAACAGCTAGGCATGGTGGCTCACACCTGTAATCCCAGCACTTTGGGAGGCCGAGGCGGGTGGATCACGAGGTCAAGAGATCGAGACCATCCTGGTCAACAAGGTGAAACCCCGTCTCTACTAAAAATACAAAAAATTAGCTGGGCATGGTGTTGCGTGCCTATAATCCCAGCTACTCAGGAGGCTGAGGCAGGAGAATTGCCTGAACCCAGGAGGCGGAGGTTGCGGTGAGCCGAGATCGCGCCATTGCACTCCAGCCTGGGTAACAAGAGCAAAACTCCGTCTCCAAAAAAAAAAAAAAAAAAAAAAAAAAAGTGCAAGTCAAGACTGAGATGTCAGGCCAGGTGCAGTGGCTCATGCCTGTAATCCCAACACTTTGGGAGCCGGTGTATCACTGGAGCCCAGGAGTTCAAGATCAGCCTGAGTAACATGCCAAAAAAAACCCTGTATTTATGAAAAGTGGAATAATTAGTCAGGCATGATGGCATGGCACACACCTGTATTCTCAGCTACTTGGGAGGCTCAAGCAGGAGGATCACCTGAGGCCAAGTACACAGGGCTATCAAGACTGCAGTGAGCTGTGATCACATCACTGCACTCCAGGCTGGGTAACAGAGTGAGACCCTGGCTCAAAAAAAAGAAAAGAAGTCGGGCGAGGTGGCTCACGCCTGTAATCCCAGCACTTTGGGAGGCCGAGGCAGGTGGATCGATCACAAGGTCAAGAGATCGAGACCATCCTGGTCAACATGGTGAAACCCCGTCTCTAGTAAAAATACAAAAAAATCAGCTGGCCATGGTGATGCCTGCCTGTAATCCCAGCTACTCAGGAGGCTGAGGCAGGAGAATTGCCTGAACCCAGGAGGCGGAGGTTGCGGTGAGCCGAGATCACGCCATTGCACTCCAGCCTGGGTAACAAGAGCAAAACTCCGTCTCAAAAAAAAAAAAAAAAAGAAAAGGAAAGGAAAGAAAAACCGAAGGAAATTAAAAAAGAGAGAGAGAGGCCGGGCGCGGTGGCTCAAGCCTGTAATCCCAGCACTTTGGGAGGCCGAGGCGGGTGGATCACGAGGTCCAGAGATCGAGACCATCCTGGTCAACATGGTGAAACCCCGTCTCTACTAAAAATACAAAAAAAACTAGCTGGGCATGGTGGTGCGTGCCTGTAATCCCAGCTACTCAGGAGGCTGAGGCAGGAGAATTGCCTGAGCCCAGGAGGCGGAGGTTGCGGTGAGCCGAGACCGCGCCATTGCACTCCAGCCTGGGTAACAAGAGCGAAACTCCGTCTCAAAACAAAAAAAAAAAAAAAAAAGAGAGAGAGAATCCAGGACTTTTTTTGAAGCAAGAGGGAAACAGGACTGTCTGACATGTGGGGAAATTGCTTGAATTCTCCAGCCTTCCCATTTGGATGTTTTCCTCTTTGTGTGAACACGACTATAAGCTGCTCCTCCCAGAGGCATAGGCAGTGGTTGAAAATACAGGTCCTAGAGCAAGGAAGTCTGTAGACCACAGGCTAACAGAGTGTGGCTGAGCAGGGAGGAGCTGGGAGCTGGCACCTCATACAAGTTATCTCCCAGCTGAGGACACAGAACAGGATCCAGAGCTAGGTTTGAGTTCCAGCTCCTCCCATGGTACAACACCCAGACGTGTGCTGGGGTGTCCTCTGAGCCTCAGCTACCTCACTGCAATTTGGGGCCCTGTCTCTTCCCCGCAGGGGGGTGCTGGGAAGACCAAATGAGATCATGTCCGTCTCCCAAACCCTGCAAGGCCTTTGTGTTGCAGTGAGAATGAAGTCTATATCCCTGTTCACTCGAAGCCTGCCTGCCTTCCCCATTCTCACCCTTGTACACTGAGTGCCCCAATCCCCACACACACGGAGCCCTGTGCTGTTACTGCTGTTCCCTCTGTCCAAATGGCCCTTCACTCAGACATCTAGATGTCCATCCTCCTTCCCTGAGTCTGCCTCTCGGAGCAGTCTCCCTGACCACTACAGCAGTGCCTCCCCAACCCCAGCCAGCATCACTCCCCACCCCCGCCCTGCTTTGCGGCATCGCTCCCTGGCTGACATACCATCATGCATTTATTTCTTTACTTATTGTTTCCCTCCCCTCTATGAGGACAGGTACCTTCTTTTTTTTTTTTTTTTTTTGAGATGGAGTTTCGCTCTTGTTACCCAGGCTGGAGTGCAATGGCGCGATCTCGGCTCACCACAACCTCCGCCTCCTGGGTTCAGGCAATTATCCTGCCTCAGCCTCCTGAGTAGCTGGGATTACAGGCACGCACCACCATGCCCAGCTAATTTTTTGTATTTTTAGTAGAGACGGGGTTTCACCATGTTGACCAGGTTGGTCTCGATCTCTTGACCTCGTGATCCACCCGCCTCGGCCTCCCAAAGTGCTGGGATTACAGGCTTGAGCCACCACGCCCGGCCTTTTTTTTTTTTTTTAATGATTTTTTTTTTTTTTCTTTGAGACAGAGTTTTGGTCTGTCACCCAGGCTGGAGTGCAGTGGCACAATCTCAGCTCACTGAAACCTTCACCTCCCAGGTTCAAGCGATTCTCCTGCCTCAGCCTCCTGAGTAACTGGAACTACAGGCACACACCATCACTATGCCCGGCTAATTTTTTGTATTTTTAGTAGAGACGGGGTTTCACCGTGTTGGCCAGGCTGATCTTGATCTTCTGATCTCGTGATCCACCCGCCTCAGCCTCTCAAAGTGCTGGGATTACAGGCGTGAGCCACCGCGCCCTGCCTGAGGGTAGGAATCTTCATCTGTCTTGTTGACAGTAGCATCCCCAGAATCTAGCTCAGGCCTGGCATGCGGTATGTGCTCAGTCCAGATTTGGGAAGCCAATGGAGAGATGAATGAGCCAGAGAAGTGCTCAGGAACCCAATTCTCTGACCTCCTGTCCAGGCTGCTCCCCTCAGGAGTCCAGGTTCCTGCTGGTCAGTGGAGTCCAGACCCAGGGCTGGAAAGCGTCCACCCACAGGGCAGATGGGCTCAGGCCATGTGCTCAAGGTGTGCAGGGCTGGGGGAGGCGGTCAGCCCCCAGCTTCTATTTGGGGTATGTGCCTTTTCTTGCCCCTGCTTTGGCTGGAGGATACCCTGTTCCCCAGACATGAGCCCAGGTGCCTAGGATCTCCCTGGGCCTGGCTCTGGCTTCACCCCAGAGCCCTCCAAATTCTGAGTCCTCCGACTCTCAGACCTCCAGTGCCTGTCCCAGCCACTTGCCTTTTCTCCAGCAACAGAGCCCAGAGGGGTCTCTGCCTGGGATTGAAATCACATAGAAGATTGGGGTAGAGCCAGAGAGAACCCGAGACTCCTGTGCCAGCTTGGCATCCCCTCCGCTGCCAGGGAAGGACTGCACCCAAGTCACATCTGTACCCAGCCCAAGATGTCGGAGGCCCAGGCTGAAATCCGGTTGCTGCTGCAGAGACCAAAAGTTTCCAAGGCCTTGTCACTTGGGCTGTGTCAGATGATCCCAGGCCTGTCACTGGCTGCTCTTCAGCTCAGACACCCCTAACCTCACCAAGCATTTCTATTTCTGAGGAAATAGAGGTTGTGGCTTCCCTCAAGCACCCACTTACCCCACCCTCTTCCCCCTCTTTCTGCAAACTTGAGTCACAGCTGCCCGGCCAGCCACAGGCCCCAGGGATGTCTGAGTCAGCCTGGCTAGGGTTCCAGTCACGACACCGCCCTTACCAGCTGGGAGACTCTGGGAACCTCCAACCCTGCTGAGCCTCCACTTCCGCATCCATGAAACAGACATGAACAAGCAGGTCTCAAAGGTTGACTTCCGTGTGCAGGGACACAGCATGCAGTAGGTGCCCAATAACAGCAGCACCCACACAGAGACCCCCACAGCAGCCCTTCTCCCTGCACTTCCATGTGCCATCTCATTTGACCTTCACAACTAGGAAGGCACCATCATTATCCCATTTTACTGAGGAGGAAACTGAGGCACAGGAAGGTGAATTTACCAGCCTGGTCTCAAATGGACTGGCAGATGGCAGTTTGGGGATTGGAGCCCAGAGTCTGTGCTCCTGGCCATGCCCTCCCACATAGGGCTATAAAATAACACTCTAAGAGTCCTTGCTATGTGCCTGGCAGTGTGCTAAGAATTTGACAGTCTTCAGTACATGCAATCTTCACAACAGACCTATGAGGTAGGGGTTATGAGGAGCCATTTTACAGACGGGTAAGTCAAGACAGAGAGAGGATGTGGCTTGCCACAGACCACATGGCTAGTGAGCATAGGAGCCAAGATTCCAACCCATTTCCCATCTGGGCCCAAAATAGCACTCCTGCTTCTTCATTTCTCCAAAAGAAGCCATGCTGACTCCATCCCTGCCTGTGACTTGGGCTGCTTGTCCCTTCTCTGCCCACTCACCCACCCCCAGGGATGTGCTGGGGAGAGAAGGTGGTTCCTGAAGCCCTCCTCTGAGAAGCAGGATAAGCAGGCAGTGGGGCAATGCAGAGGTTGGGCTTAAAGCCAAAGAAACATCACTTTTTTTTGAAACGGAATCTCGCTTTTCACCCAGGCTGGAGTGCAGTGGCACAATCTCGGCTCACTACAACCTCCGCCTCCTGAGTTCAAACAATTTCCCTGCCTCAGCCTCCCGAGTAGCTTGGATTACAGGTGTGTGCCACCACACCTGGCTAATTTTTGTATTTTTAGTAGAGATAGGGTTTTGCCATGTTGGCCAGGCCAGTCTTGAACTCTTGACTTCAGGTGGTAGCCCCACCTCGGCCTCCCAAAGTGCTGGGATTACAGGTGTGAGCCACCATGCCTGGCCAAGAAACATGTGTTCTAATCCTAATGCCCCACTTCCTAGCTATGGGACCTTGATTGAGTTCCTGTACCACACCTCCGTTTCCCCACTTATAAAAATAGGTTACTAAAAAGGATGCCTTACTCAAGGGTGTGAAGACCAAATGAATGAAGTGTTAATAAGAGCTCCACGTATCCGTATCATGCTCCTGCTGCTCAGCCACCCCAGGGTGGTCTTCCTTGACTTGTGGGAGTCACAAGGAGGAAGGAAGGATTATTAAACTTGTAGGTCTTTCCAGGGAAAGTGCATTTCCTAAAACCAAATCCTGCCCTTGCTCCAAAACTTTCAGTGGTGGTTTCCCATGACCACACCACAGTCTCAGGATCTCCTCTGGCCTTCAAGGCTGGCATGGTCTGACCATGCCAGCACCCCTCGTGCCAGCATCTGTCAGACCCTCCTTGCTGCTGCTCCAGATCTGCACATGCTGTTCTCTTTCAAGAATGCCACTTCCAGCTGGGCGTGGTGGCTCACGCCTGTAATCCCAACACTTTGGGAGGCCGAGGTGGGTGGATCACCTGAGGTCAGGAGTTCAAGGCCAGCCTGGCCATCATGGTGAAACCCCGTCTTTAAAAAAAAAAAAAAAAAAAATACCACTTCCCCAACCCCCTGGTCCCGCGGGGGAACGCCTACTCATCCTTCCAAGCAAAGTTGGAGGGGAACATCTTTGGAGGAGCTGCTTGACCTCCCAGGCAGAAGGGGTCGCTGAGGGAACATCTTTGGAGGAGCCGCTTGACCTCCCAGGCAGAAGGGGTCGCTCTCCCTGGAGATGATGTAGTTACATCATCAACCACACTGGGTTAGAATCATCAGAAGCTCTTCCTGCCTCTCCCAACAAGCAAGTGGCTCTGGAGCCAGAAAATGCCTATGAATCATGCCCACATCCCCAGAGCCCAGCATGGGGCAGGCTCAGGTTAGGTCAATAGTGTTTGAAGACTGAATAGGCTGAGCACAGTGGCTCACACCTATAATCCCAGCACTTTGGGAGGCCAAGGAGGGTGGATCATTAGGTCAGCAGTTCGAGACCAGCCTGGCCAACATGGTGAAACCCTGTCTCTACTAAAAATACAAAAATTACCCGGGCGTAGTGGCGCATGCCTGTAATTCCAGCTACTCAGGAGGCTGAGGCAGGAGGATTGCTTGAACCTGGGAGGCAGAGGTTGCAGTGAGTGAGATCACACCACTGCACTCCAGCCTAAGCAACAGAGTGAGACTCGGTCAAAGAAAAAAAAAAAAAAAAAAAGGAAGACTGCTGGATAAATGAATGTCTTCATTTGCCACCCTCAGCAGCCCAGTCTGGAACAAAAATTCAAAATTGGTTTGAATGGGATCCCAAGAATCACCTTTAGGTTGTCAGGGAAACGAGACAGGAGAGGGAAGGAGCCAATAAAGAGCGTGGGAGTGAGCGCATAAAAATATGGACAGCTGGGGAACCTTGGGCGATGATGCAGAACTGTGATCACTAACTTTCACCAGGTCAGTCACAGAGCAAGGCTACTGGGGATAGCACGTTACAGCCTACTCTAGCACTACGGCCACCTGGGGCGGGGGCCAGCAGGCTGCAGCTGCTGGGTGAAGCCCCCAGGCAGAGTCGTTGGTTCTCGGGTGCTCAAGCTTAGCTGGAAGCCTTCAGGTTACTGTGCAAGGGAATAATGAGTACCCAGGGGATACGTGCATGTGTTACAGTGAATGAATGAATGAATGAATGAATGGAGTATCAAGAAAAGAGTCCCATATCTTCAGTCATTCGGCAGACACAGCCCTGCTGCTGTGTGGCCTTTCCTCTTCTATAAAGCATTCCTCTGACCTGGGTTTCCTCTTCTATAAAGCAGGAATGCTAGCCCAGCCTCCCAGGAGATAAAAGGTGGGAGGTCCCCAGAGAGTGAGAAGAGTTCCACTGGGCTCAATCTCAGCTCCAGGAAGTAGGACATGGCCCCACTGAGGGTTCTCTGTGGGTGAAGAAAGCCACAGGAGGCAGGCACCGTGCCCCGGTTGGAACCACAGGGGCCCTGACGTAACCACATCATGGCCACCACAGCCTCCACCATCCCACAACAATTTCCGCCACTGCCTCTCCCCAGGGCAAGGGCTCCCCCCAATGGCTGGCTGTCCCTTCTGCCAGCACCTGCCCCCGGTGGGCCCTGCAGCCTGGTCATGGCTATTGCAGGGCAGGCTGGCAGCTGCTCCTGTGTGCAGCAGCGTGTCTGCTTTGAAAAGCCACAGAGACTCCTGTGCTTAGGGGGCTTATGTTCCAGTAGCACAGGTTTGAATCCCAGTTCTACCACTTGTGACTGTGGGCAAGTCATTTCACCCCGGCCCTCTCTGGTCTCGTTGATCAGATGGAACTAACATTCTATTGTCCCCTCTGGTGGCCTTGGCTCCAGCAGTTTGTGAGACAGTTGCCTCCACTCTTTTCCCTACTACAAATCCCATGAGAACACAAACTTATCTTGCCTCCTGCCCCAACCCCAGGGTCTTGAACACAGTAAGTACTCAATAAATGCTTAGTAAATACATAAATTACTGTCTGACCCGCCTTGCTCTTCCAGTCCAGACTTAAATGTCGCCTCCTCCAGGCAGCCTTCCCTGATTCCTCTTCTGGCTTCCCAGAATTTCTTCCAACTCCTTTAGCCTGTTCCCTGCAGCTGCCTGGCCTACTGGGTGTGGCTGCCCAGTTATCGAACCCACTCCCTGAACCTATCTTCCCCCCAGGTTTGCGCTGGGCCTGTCTGCTGCCGGCTGCGAGGAAATAAAGGGCTGGAAGAAAGGGGAGGGAGGCAGGGAGGAGGCGGCGCGGATACATCTAGAAGGCTGGGGGAGGCGGCGGGGATTCTAGCAGGCCGGGCCAAGACTCACAGCCCCGGCAGGCCAAGATGCGAGCAGGGGCCCGGCCGGAAGGAGGCGGGGGAGGGGCGGCCGGGGAGCTGCAGGGGGGCGGCGCGGGGCGCGGGGCGCGGGGCGGCGGCCCGGTGTTTCCGGAGGCCCTGCAGGAAATGCTCCGGGCCTCTGCTGGGCGGAACGGCGGTGGGATGGGCCTGGGAGGGACCCGCGCGCGCCCTCCCCGCGCTGCCCTGGGCTCTCCGGCGCGCGGTCTCTGCGAGCCGTCTTCCCCGTCGAGTAGGCGCTGCTCAGCCCCATTCCAGGGAGGAAGAAACCGAGGCTCAGAGAGGGCCCCCGGGGGCACAGTTCTACCGCTGCGCCGGCGCCGGCCGCTCCCTCCAAGTCCCCGGCCCTTGCCTGGGCTGCGGCACCCGCGACGCCCCCCGATCCCCGCCGGTGGCCGAGGCCCCGGGCCGGGCTCCCTATGGCAGGGCCAGGGCGGAGGACGTGGAGACGGGGCGGGAAGGCGAGGCGGGGCCGGGTGGAGCCGCACGCAGATCGCCCAGCGCGCATCCCCGGCCCGCAGGGAGCGCAGTGCGGGCCGCTGAGCCCCGGGCGGTCCTCCCCTGCCTCGGCTCCCCGGGAGGCGGACGCGGCCACGCAAGGACCCCCGCGGGACCCTGAGACACTCACTGTTAACCAGCCGACTCGCTCCCTCCAGTGCTCACTGAGGAGTCGGAGTCCATGTGGGCTGGGTGGACTCCCTGGGCTTGAGTTCAAATCCTGCCTCACCACCTGCTGGCTGGCGCTTTTCTTCTCTAAGCGCAGTTCCCTCTGGTGGGGATGACAGCAGAGCCTGCCTCAGAAAGTTGCAGCGAGAACTAAATGCGTTCTGCTGGGCGCGGTGGCTCAGGCCTTAATCCCAGCACTTTGGGAGGCCCGGACCGGAGGATGGCTTGAAGCTAGGAGTTTGAGACTAGCCTAGTCAATATTATGAGACCTCTCACCACCCTAGCCCCGTCTCTACAAAATATATATGCATAATTTTAAGACCGAGTCTTGCACTGTCGCCCATGCAGGAGTACAATGGTGCGATCTCAGCAATCTTCACCTCCTGGGTTCACACGATTCTCTTGCCTCAGCCTCCCGAGTAGCTGGGATTACAGGCACACACCGCCACGCCCAGCTAATTTTTTGTATTTTTAGTAGAGACGAGGTTTCACTATGTTGGCCAGACTAGTCTCAAACTCCTGACCTCGTGATTCACCCGCCTCGGCCTCCTAAAGTGTTGGGATTACAGGAGTGAGCCACCACGCCGGGCTCTACAAAATATTTTTTAAAACGTGTTGATCAATATAAAGCGCTGTGCCTGGCACATCCTATGCTCAATAATCTGTTATTATGAGAAAATCTCCTCTCCCTCCTCCCCCTCCCTCTCCTCCTCCCTCCTCTTTCTCCGTCTTCAGCTTTCTCAAGTTGAATTCCTCTTTCCCTCTCCACCTATTTTCCATCTATTTTTCTTTCTGTGTTGAATTCTGGATTATTTCTTCAAATCCATCTTCCAGATCAAGAATTCTCTATCCAGCTGTGTCTAAACTGCCATTTAAACTCTCCGTTGAGTTTTTTAATACGTTACCATGTGTTACATTTCTAGAAGCTTCACATTTGCTTAGTTCTTCTCATTCCTCACCCTTTGCTCATGTTGCTCTATCTTCTCCCACCTCTTCCCCTGGCGAATTCCCATACAACCCATTTGTTTCCAACCCCAGGGAGCGTTCCCTGACCCCGCCTGGGCTGGGGCTTTCCTGGGCCCCTCAGTCCCTGGGACTCCTTTGTTGCAGCACTGATCACCTTCAGCCATGATTGGCTGGGTTTGGATCTGCCTTGCCCATCAGACCCATGCTTCTCATAAGCAGTGGTCATATCTGCATCCTCTCTCAGAGACAAGTACAGGAGGTTTTCAATAAACCTATATAAAATGAAAACAATTTCCATTCAATCAATTGTAAAATACCTTCAATCACTAAAAATTGGATAAAGGTTAAAAAAAATAACCAGATCAGCTTTCAGTATAGTTTACTTAAGTTGTTCTAGCCAAAAAAAAATGTTTTTCAAGAGACAGGGGTTGGGCGCGGTGGCTCACACCTGTAATCCCAGCACTTTGGGAGGCCGAGGCGGGTGGATCACGAGGTCAAGAGATCGAGACCATCCTGGTCAACATGGTGAAACCCTG